ATAATCACATGATTATCATACCCATATCACACCCAAATCACACCAAATCGTGTTGATATAAGCGATAATGTGATAATTGTGTGATAATCACATGATTATCACACCCATATCAYATGATTAACCGTTTATTAGATAATGATAATCATGATCGTGTAATCGTATTAAAAGATTTTATGATATTATTTCCATTATTACCCTTTTAATTTTAATATTTTCTGAATCTTTTTAAATTTCAATTTTAGTTTTAAAAATCTTTTAATTTTATTTTTTATCACAATATATGGTTATTGGGTTGTTCTCGCATTCTCGTAAATCACAGGGGTTCTCGTTTGAACCCTTCCCTATATATATTAATTCAATCTTAATCTGAGTTTCTGGACAAGAAAGAGGGTAAACAGTTGAAATTTCATTCTAAAACTCATATTTTTTGGTCTTTTCATGGCTTATGATTTGTCAAATTTGTAGTTTTCTTTATTTGTTTTGAGTGTTTATCTTAAAACTCAAGTTTCTTGATTCTTTGCTCTTGGTGTAAATCGAACACATTTGTGGAGTTGTTTAAATATGTTGGATTTCAAATATATTGGATTTTAAATTGTCATACAATTTTTTTTCATCGATAGTCTGTAATTGGAACCATAACTCTTATTTATTCAAATTGTATTAATATGTAAGGACCAAGTGTAACATATATCCTCATTAAATCTTATCTTATAAAAACAGTGGAACTTCAAAATCGTTAAAATTTATGGCTCCCGTCGTATTACGCGGGTACACAACTTGTAGATAAATAAACATCGGTTATTCATTAGTTTGTAATAATTTGTAAGATGCAATGTGTGGTGGTTAACAAATTTTCAATCCAAATTAATATCGAGTTTAGCATTTGTATTTATTGTTGTAGAAAGATAATTATATTTCATTAAAATATAGTTATCGAAAGAAAGGCGGTATTTGTTTACTTGGAGCAATTGGCAATTGGCAATTGGCAATTTCCTTTTTGCAGTTGGAAACCCTAGCCTAACGAATCAAGAATTCAAGATCATCATCGTCTTATCATACATATTGCAATCCCGCCATGGGAGGCCACGGAGGTCTAAATATTCTCCCTCAGAAGCGCTGGAACGTTTACAATTTTGACAATCGGGAAAAAGTCCGCAAAGATGAAGAAGCCGCAGCCAAAGAAGAACAACTTAAACGCGAACAATCTCGCAAGCGCGACACCGAGTTCCGTCTCGAACAACTACGCCAAGCCCGCGGTTTGGCTTCGGCTTCGGCCTCAGCTTCAGCTTCCTCCTCACGCCAATCCACCGCTGTTGCAGTCGAGTCACCACCCGCACCCGTACCCGAACCCCAACCGGAAGTGGAGCCAAAATCGAGACACATTAATTTGTTTGAAGGAATTAGAATTTTTGATCCAGTTGAGATTGTGGATAAGAATAAAAGTGAACCAGGGGATGAACAAAGGAAGGGGTATAAAAGGATCAAGAAAGAGGCCGAGATGCCGAAGGTGGTTTTACCAGAGGATGAAAAGTATCGGTTAGGGTACGGAGTGGCTGGAAAAGGCGTAAAGTTACCTTGGTACATGGAAAAACGCCCAAATGGTGATGATAAAGGAGTCGATGACTGTGATTCGGTGACAGTAACTAAGAGCAGTAGAAAGAAGAGCGTGGAAGAACTTAGGGAAGAGAGGTTGAAGAGAGAGGGAAAAGAAAAGGAAAGGGAACGAGCGTTGCTGCTACACAAGGGCCGACGTGGATCATTGATTCAGAATGATAGATATTCGAGGAGGTAAGGGGTTTGTTAGTTACTGCATTCTGTTCCTGTTTTCATGTTGTTTAATATGAATAATGTGTTTATTTGAAGTTTAACTTGACTGAAGTGAAATATAATGTCAATTGAAGACATAATCTTTATGCAAACTAAGGAGGGGTGTTGAGCGGTTCACATCCAATGGATTTGGGTGGAAATGTTCCAATCCAATCATCCATTGGATGTTGAATCTTGACAACTGATCCAAGTCGATTAGCTTTGGACAACCAATCCATTCGAAACCAGTGGATGATTTAGTTGGATCGACTCTACTTGTTGGCCGTTACTGTTGGTTATTTATTATTCAGATTGTATCCATCAAATATTTTGAACCAATAATCAGTAGAATTCACTTAAAATCACTACTCATATATAACAATCCGTGTAACTCAAATGATCAACTTAATTTATAAGCATAAATCATAAGGAAGTTCTAAGAAATTATGAATATTGGCAAAGATCTATAAGAGGATCTCTGTTAATATACATGAATACAGGAGATATTCAGTACGAATGGTGTATGAATCAAGCTTTAGGAGCCAATGGAGCTATGATTGAATATGATTTGTCTTCCGAATCTCTTGGCTTGCCTCTACTGATTAAAAAAGGAAAATGAACGGTTTAACACACTTTAGTTCCATTCTCATTTGGCAATATGGTAATTCTTTTTGCAAGAACTAGCAACATACTATATGTAGTCTTAAAACTTACCCTTATTGTTACCATGGTACTCATACTTTGTCCATCAAGTTACATTGTCTTAGGAAATGATGTATAGGCTGTTCAATCCATGAATCTCACCTTGTAACATATCTTTTTCTTTTCTGAAAAATATACATGGGTTTCTTTTCTTGGAACTAGCCAGTAATCATGATCTAATTATCCTTTGGGTACCAACCTGTAGCATGGGTGGGCTGAGTCATTCTACCCATTAGAGTAGAAGATAGGTTTGCATACATCCTACTCCGACCACATCTCTGAGTCATTAGTGTTGTATTCTGTAACCTGAGCCATGGTATTTGGTTGATGAAACAAGCAAGTTCTATCCTAGGAAGAAAGAAAGAAAGGAACACTAAATGAAATAAGGAAAAAGTTGCATGAATGGTAGATGATGATCATAAGGTGTTCCCCTCTTATATACTTGCGAGATGTAATATTTCATTTTATCAGGCTGTAAAGCAACTGGTTGGTTCCTCATCATATGAAGCATTGCAATTGGATGAGGATAAGTGTTGGTTATTTAGTTTTATGTAGGATATTATATATATATATATATATATATATAGTGAGAAGGGGTGGGAGGGAGGGAGGTTCAAATGAGAACGCTAACTATTTAAGAAAACAAGAAAAATGTCGTTAATGTATAAAATCACATGTGATTTTACATTAACGTCAAAAAATTGGAAGCCGATGACTTTTGAACCTGTATGATTTTGTATGTGAATATATATACACACACAGGGAACTTCTTTTAAGAACTCATGAAATTGTGATAACTTTGAGAACTAATCAATGTGCTATTTCATATAATTTTTTTCTATCCAAAACCTGGATTTAGAATATCTATTAATATGTACTTGTTTCATAATGTGTTTTTTCACATGTACTTGTTTCACAATGTGAATTTTTTTTAGTGTGTTTATGAAACAAAAGTTAGATGTAAAAAAGTTTCACATTGTGAACTGCATACATATGAAGCATTCACGTTGTGAAACAAAACATTAAAATAGAAGTTTTTATGGTTATCACGATTTAATATTTTAAGAAGTAATTAATTTTTTCCCAAAAAAAGAAGTAATTAAATTTTAAAGAAGAGTAATTAAATAAATCATTCCTCTGGTCTATTGCCATTGCTAGAAAAAAATTACACCAAGGCTCCCAATGATTTGATTTGATTTCATTGATGATAACGTTGTGTTCTCGAAACCTTTAATTCTAATGGAGGAGGAGGAAATAAAAGGAAAAGGAAGGAAAGGGGGGAAAGTAAAAAAAATGTGTCTTCAAAACCTTTTTAGCAGAAAAAGGAAAGGAAACAGAAGGAAAATAGTTAATAAGTTTCCTTCCAAAACTTGAAGGATTTGAATTTAAGATGTTAAGAGTTAGCATGGTACTCATACTTACTTGTCCATCAAGTTATATTGTTCATTTTGAAGTCTTTTAACACCTCCTGTGCAATTGTGTTTGATATTGAACTGTGAACCTGCATTTATTCTCCTGGGCCTCGTACCAAGAAACAAGCAGATTGTTTGATTTCGTGACTATAAGAGAAGGGTAAGAAGATATATCCCCTCTTGGATTAGTTATAACTGAAAATCAACCCTACCCTAATACGGTGCACCAAGATGCATCAGACCAATGACCGTAATAAGCGAAATTTATGGGATGAGAGTGAGATTAAAAGTAATCAATGGTCCAGATATCTTCTTATGCTTATCAAATTAACTCTTATTTTCACACGATTTTTCGTATGTCAGGGACGGACTCATAATTTTTTTTAACGGTGGCACCATTTGACCATAAGAAAAAAAATATAGGAATTTTTTTTTCAAGCGGTGACACCGTTTTGACTATAAGAAACAAATATACGGACTTTTTTTCAAACGGTGGCACCGTTTGACTAAGAAAATGACACTAACATAATTCGGACTTGGGTGTGAGGTGGAATAAAAGCCTTGCAAACCAACTATACCAAATAAAACTTGTTTTCATTGTAGTTTCAAAATACATACGGTGGCACATAACAAATTAATACGGTTGCACCGTTCGCGAAACCTAATTTGTTTACCCTTCGGTGGAGAAATAATACGGTGGCACGTGCCACCTATACCACATACATAGGCCCGTCCATGTCGTGTGTGTGTGTGTGTGTATGGTTGAATTTTGGTGAGAAAGAGAGTTAAAGTTGAGAAACGCAAGAAGGGATCATCACTCTTGGATACACATTAGAATGAGATGATCAATCCCCGTATCAAACGCGATTGATAGATGAATTTAATTAAATGTGATCAAGGATACAGATCCTTTTTACGCTTCCCATCTTAACTCTTATCTCACACGATATTTCTTACACTTATATATATGTGTATATATATATATATATATATATATATATATAAGCAGTTGAATATTTAAAATCTATTATGAAATAAATAGAATTATTGAATTAAGAACATAAGATACAAACTACAAAGTCATTTAAAGGGTTTAAAAACCATTAAAAGACAGACTTTTTTTTTGTCAAACAAGATTTACCTATTAGATTCAAAGGTTGCATATTAATGAAACTATTAAGAGATAAACAAATAGCCCCTTAGCGTTGTATTTAACATTATGTTCTTGAAACTCGTTTACGAAGAAAAGAAAAAGAACCTGATGAAAAATAGATGAAAACAAAAAAAGCTCGTATTTGGAACCATTTTAGGAGGCTATGAGTGGAATAAAAGAAAAGTAAGGCCTTGTTTTTTTTTTTTATAAAAAAAAAGGTTCTTATTAGTCTCTTATGTCTAATTCGTTAAGAGGTAAGACCATTTAGATTGTATGTTTTTTTCAATTTTTTAGAGACATTTATGTTTTGTTGTTCTCTTATCTGGTAAGAGGTAAACCAATATCTTATTTGCCTCTTATTGTTATTCAAACCTTCAACAACGACATTTTTTAATCGATTAACCTTAATCAATCGCTAGTTTTCTAACCGCGAGTTGCGCGGTAGTGATAATATCATCTTCAAAAGGAATGTTATAGACTAAATTTGAAGTACTATTCTAAAATTTTTTAGACAAATGTGAGTACATTAAAAGTTTTTAAGAGGATTTGACAAAAATCTTAGAACCATATGCTAATTTAAGTTATCTAACTATGTTTGAGAATCGTGTTGCAAAGTACTCTACAAATGTTTGACTAATGTTAGTAGTTTATCTAATTAGAAATCACTGTTTTAATTGAAATCTTATCTAAGGTGACAAAATCACGATTTTAATTTTATAACAAATTTAATTGAAATCTCATTTTTGAAGTTACGAAGAAGAAACGTTCAATAATATTTCCAGTGAAAATTAGAGAAGTGCGTAAGTTGTAGCAACAATAGTGGAAGTCCAATACGATGCATGAAGAACCACATCATCAAGCTAAGATAATGGATTTTCCCTCATAAAAAATAAAATTAATATCAAGTGGGGTCSATGACCCACATATCAGATATTAAACTAACAAAAATATTACACTTTATCGTAACATTTTATAATATTTGAATTGTAATTAAAGGGGTGTGTCAAATCGTGATAGTATTAACATCAWGACGACAGATAAATAACTACCTCATGTTGTCAAATTATCATCATTGGTTTCAYTTTTATATTTGCACTATAATTTTTRMCATTTAGTTGGTTTTATATTTRCAAACATGATATAGATTTCAAAGATAGTCATCCACCTTTCTTATACACTTTAATTTGTTCAAAATTTTTAACTTTTCATCAATGTGGGACAACTAAAACTCAACGATAATACATCATTTGGTTTGATTGGTTTCCAACCATGGTTTTATATATATATATATATATATATATATAAGATATAATAATATAATATAATTAATTTTGCACTATAATTTCTACCATTTGGTTTGATTGGTTTCCAACTATGGTTATAGATTTCAAAAAAATCATCTAAAGAAAGAACCCTATGAGGCAAAACTCATATTTGACACAAAGACATCCAATCCACCTTTCTTATACACTTCATTTTGTTTAAAATTTTCAACTCTTCACTAATGTGGGATATCTCAAACTTAACCACAATTCACCAACACCTCAATACTCAATTCTTATGATGTCACATCAATGCTCTTGGTTTTTCCTTTAATATATATATATATATATATATATATATATATATATATATAGATTTCTCTTAATCAATCCTTTCTAAATCAATCCTCATGTATCTTAATTGATGTATTTTAATAAGATTTAAATGTGTTAAATACGTTAATGACATATTTTCGTTTAAATATAACTTAGATTTAAATTTCGTAATGATGATGAATAAATATGTGAAATTGTATAAGTTTTATTTATAAATTCAACAACATAATTTTTTAATAGGTAAAATAGACAATTTAAACAAATTCAGACGTTTATCAGTTTACAAAAACAAACAGTCTTACCGATTCAGATTTTAGAAGTCCACACCACCTCTTATAAATCAAAATTGAAATAAAACTTCAGATTTTAACACCTCTTAAAAAACAAACGTCACATAAATGATACGTATTCATCCAAAACTTTCCTTCAAAATGTGGAAATAAAGAGAATAAAAGAAATAGGCATCCTTGAATAGTAAAACTACAAAGCTATATAATAATTTGACACCATCAAAACAAATATATATGATATTTGTCTAAAATGAAATATTTGGTTTCATTTCTTTCCAATTCAAAAACGTGAAACACGTTTTTTTTTCCTATTCCTTTCCTCTTAATAATAAGTACTAACTTTTACTTTTTTTGTAGCTTAGACCATCAATAGTCACAATCCAAGCAATTATATTGTCAATGGACAAAACGAATTTAAAAAAAATAGAAATAGGTAACCAATCTCTAACGATCCATCTCACTCGACAATCCGAGATTGAACACCGTTCTACTAAATGAAATTGACATGTGGCATTTTCTTATTGGTTGGTTTAATTTTTTTTAAAAATAAAACTTATCTAATTAGAAAGTGACTTTAACATAAAAAAATTAAAAATTAAAAAATATACCAAAATTCGTAGTTTTCAATTCTATATAGATAGAGCACACTATTATATATTTTCATACTTACTTTTGTGACTTGTCTTAGTTAATTTCAATTGTAAAATAAGTTTTTTATAGTTATAATTACGTTTTAAAATATATATAGTAATCCGTTTAATTTATTTTTTATATTTAAAATTAAAAAAATAATAATTATATATGATAAAAAATAAAATATATAGTTTTTATAAAATTATATTTTAGATTGGACTGGATCGCGATAAAATGAAAAAAAAAGTGAGATTGGGTTGGAGTTGAAGATTTTTGTAGGTAGATGAGAGAATAATATTTTAATTGGGATTGAGTTGGAAGGGATTGCGAGTAAACTTAGGGGGTGTTTGGTTCATGGAATTTGATGGAATTGGAATGTCCAAATCTTTGACCAAATTCCAAATTCCATGTTTGGTTCACATAATAGATGTGAAAATCATTCCAATTCCAACCAATTCCATCCAATTCTTTAATTCATTGATTTCACAATTCCACCGCATATACCACGGATTTCAAATTCCAATCCGACAAATTCCTTAGCCCTCATCCATTCATCGACGCTGTATCTTGATTTGCTCTGTTCTGCTATGCTCGATCTTCTTTGCTCGATCTCGTTTAAAACTAAGAATGACAACGGGCCAGATTCGAACCGGTTATTGGTATCCTCGTCCCAGAAACCGATAACTAAAACCGTTCCCATGACCGCCCTGATCCCCGTCGGGGATCTTATCGGGTTCCGCAGTTTCCCCGATCCCCGTTGCGGAAGTCGTGAAGGTAAAAATTCTCTTTTTCCCTTTCACCGTTGGTTGTAACCGTACCCGAAACCGAAACCCGAAACAGATCTAAAAATCCCCGAATTTAATATATTATATATATGTATATAAATTAAAATTAATATACATACACATATCAAGCCGAGTCGGGCCGACGATCATCGTCCCCGCCCCCGTCCCCTTTAAAATCCCCGAATTTGTCCCTGATCCCCGCCCCGTCCCCGAACCCAACCCGAAAGTTTCGGTTTCAGTTTTTTTTGCCTGTAATTTTCTTGTTAAATTCCGTAAACGAAACAAAAAAAATTCCAATTCGGTTAAGAATTTCATTTCAATTTCATCCAACCAAACGCAATCAAAAGACATGGTCAAATTCCATCAAATTACATTACATTCCTCAAAGTCAAATTCATTTGATGAATTCCAATTCCATTGAATTTCATTCTACGAATCAAATGCTCCCTTATTCTTACCTATTTAAAAGTCGAAAACTTGGTACAAAGTCAAGATTTATTAAAATATGGGTACAAAGTCGAGATTTATTGAAATATGGGTACAAAGTCAAGATTTATTAAAATATGGGTACAAAGTCAGAGATTTATTAAAATATGGGCATCCTAGTACAATAAATTTGAGTTTCTAGAATGTCTTTAACTTTTTAAACTCTTAATAGACTTTTGTAAGACTATTTATAGGACCAAAAAATGACACGTGGACACGTAATTACAGTTGGACACGCGCACGGGCGGGGGCCGGGGGGGGGGGTGCTGATGCTCGCAAATAAAGTGTCTAAAGACGTTGTAATATATTTATATTGACGTTTTTTGATGTTTTAACAAGTTTTTAGAATACTTTTAATACAAATCGTCATATAAGCAATTTTATAGGATGCGTCTTATAAACCCATTTTTTATAGGACACTTGTTTTTACATGACACTATTAAGTAGTGTCCTATAAAATTGCTAGTGTGACACTTTGTATTAAAAGTGTCTTAAAAAACATGTTAAACCGTCTAAAAACGTCATGCAAACTTATTACAACGACATGATGCTTTATTTTTGTTCCTATAAATTGTCTTGTAAAGCAATCTATCAAGACATTTACAATTTGTTGATGTCCTATAAGCCCAATTTTGTTATAGTACTACCATATACACCTCTATTTAAATCAAAATCAAGTCAAATCATATATTAAAATTGTAAAAAATAAATAATAATATACTATGAATAAAAATTTCGTCACTAACCCACCCCTTAAAATATAGGGAAAAGTATAATAAAAACCAATGAACTTTCTTGTTTGGAATGATTAAGTCCTTGAACTTTTTTTTGGAACAAATAAGTCCTTGGACATTCCAAAACATGTTAAATAAGTCATTGGACATTCCAAAACATGTTAAATAAGTCATTGGACAATTTTTTGGAACAAATAAGTCCTTGAACATTCCAAAATATGTTAAATAAGTCCTTGGACATTCCAAAAAATGTTAAATAAGTCCTTGGCCAATTTTTGGAACAAATAAATCCTTGAACAATCCAAAACATGTTAAATAACTTCTTGAACTTTWATAAAACATGTTRGATACATTCTTATGACTTGTACAACTAGTTAAAGTGGTAAAATAGTGGAAAAATATCCGGAAAAAAACCCAATGAACATTCATATTTTGAACGATAAAGTGGTAAAATAGTGAAAAAAATCCGGAAATATATTTTGTCAGTGATTTTTTAAACTAAAAAAAATTATAAAATAT